TGTGTGTGTGTGTGTGTGTGTGTGTGTGTGTGTGTGTGTGTGTTGAACTCTGGGCTTAAGCTCCGCTGTCCCTGAGCTCTTAAGCTCAAGGTTAGCGTTCTACCACTTGAGTCGCAGCGCCACTTCCAGCATTTTCTGAGTAGTTTATTTTTTATTTTTATTTTTGCTATTCATGGGGCCTCAACTCTGGACCTGGGCCCTGTCCCTCAACTCTTCAGCTCAAGGCTAGCACTCTACCACTTGAGCCACAGTGCCACTTCCCGCTTTTTCTGCTTATGTGGTGCTGAGGAATTGACTCAGGGCCCAGTGTAGACTTGTGAATTTTATTTCCCAATGCAGTAAGCCTATGTTTTTTCTCCTGTTCTAGACCTCTGTAGCACCAGTTGCAGTATTTTGTATGCCTGCTCAGTTATTTGCCAGCAGCCTGTTCATGCTTTCTAGCACCCATACAGATAGAGGCTTTGTCTGGAATGTTTGTGAGTTTAGTCTGAGCCAGGAATTTTCTGCTGCTGAGTAGGGGGAGGAGTTGTAGCTTTATTGAGAGGATAGGGTTGGGAAGAGGGAGGGTAGGCGGGTGATTTCCCAGAATTTCAAGTATTCTACACAATGAATCTTTTGATTTCTTTCTCAGGAATGGGGCGGATACCTGACCAACTCGTGATCTTAGATATGAAGCATGGAGTAGAGGCGAAAAATTATGAAGAGGTATGTGCTGTTTTAACATACAGAGGAAGCAGTCGTGTGCTGGGCTATGAGCTTATATGACCTAATCAGGTCAACAGATTTGTCTTTGCCCAGAGGCTGTGTCTTTCTCAGCAGTTGTGATAACCACCTCTGATCTTAGTAACACAAAAAGTTGTATTAACAGGCTTGACTGGTAATTCTGGCCATGCTCTCAGCCCTGTACAAGTCTCAATATGATAAGCATTCAAGCATATGCCACTAGATCTTTGGGGGGGCAGATTTCAGATATTCATGGCTACAATTTTTTCTTTTTTTCTTTTTTTTGTGCTGCTCATAGGGCTTAAACTCAGCCTGGGTGCTCTCACCAATCATTTTTGCTCAAGGTAGCACTCTACCACTTGAGCCATAGCATCACTAGCTTTTTTTTGCAGGGGTGAGGGAGAATGATAGTTAAAAGTCTTACAGACTTTCTAACCTTGGCTGGTTTTGAACCTTGATCCTTGGATCTTAGCCTCCTGAGCTACAATTTCTAAAAGCTAGAATTTAGCAGCATGTTAATATACAAAAAAGTACTTTGTATTTAGTTTCTGAGATTTCTTTCCTCAGAACCAACAGGTAGGGATATATATGTTGGTTTTTTGTAGGTCATGGATTCAGTCCTGTTTAAATTTGAACAGTTATGCTGCCTTTGAGAAATGGGAGTGATAAAAAAAATACCTTTTATCAAAGTAGTTCATTTGCATTATGAAAATATAATGAAGCCTGTTAGAGTTAAGAAGGGTGAGTGGGGTTGATCAGGATACATTGTATATATGTGCCAATGTCTCAGTGAAATTCCCCTTTGTACAATTAATATATGCTAATAAAAAATGCCTTTTAGTTAAAATAACTCCAGACTGTAAGAAGAAGATGCAAAACCTGTTAGAGACTAGAGATAGTGATAATGAATAGAAATTTGACACTGATAAGAACTATTAATAGAGTAATAAAAACTGGTATTTGAGTGACTGAAGTAGAAGTGTGCTTTTTGTCTATTGGAGAGACTTGAGTGCAGCCAAAAATTGTTCATCAAATGAAGAACACATTTGAAAAACTACAAGAACTATTTAAGACAAGAGACTTGATGCTTACAGAAAGATAACAGGTTGTTTGTTTTTTATTCCACCAAATATTCCTTGAGATTTTAAAGAAGTGAGGTACAAAAAATGTAAATGTATTTTGTAGAGTGTAAACTAAATAAATAAAGGAAGCTGAAGTGATTGAGGAGAATTTTCTAATAATGGTAGAATAGGAGAAATTGCTGTCTTTGGTCAGGACTTTGGAAAGTAATGTAAGAAGATTTCAAGTGTTTGATTATGCTACTTCAGGAAGTAGCATTACTTTGGAAAGTAATGTAAGAAGATTCCAAGTGTTTGATTATACTACTTCAGGAAGTAGCATTACATTGTAACTTTCTGGGTCTTTTCTCTCTTTTGTTTTCCTTGTTCAAGAAGTCATTTGAATGAAACTAGGTAAAAGTTATTTGGAATCAGTAAATAATAGAAACAAATAATACAGTAATGAGTAGAGGATAATTCCTGGTCAAGATTTTGAATGGCTTCTTTTCTCAGGCTAATTTAATTAAAAGAAATCAAGCAAAATAGGCTCTTAATTTGGTAAATGTAAGAATAAATTGAGGGCTGGGAATTTGGCTTAGTGGTAGAGTGGTTGCCTAGCATGCATGAAGCCCTGGGTTCAATTTCTTAGTACTACATAAACAGAAAAGCCTGAAGTGGCTCTGAGGCTCAAGTGGTAAGAGTGCTAAGCCTTGAACAAAAGAAGCTCAGGGCCAGTTCCCAGGCCCTGAGTTCAAGCCCCAGGACTGGGGGGGGGGGGGAGGATTTAAAAATGTTTTTAAAAAAATCTTGATAACTGAAGACTCTTAGTTATAGTTAAGTAATATATGTTAAAATGCTGAGTGCAATAAATTACCAAGAAAAATGTAGTTACTATGAGGTGCAAGAATAGGTAAAATGATTTTCTGTGTGCTGCTCTTCCCATCTATGAACCATCTCTAAATAAGTGCCTTGAACATACCAGATTTCATCTAAATAGGCAATCATTGCCTTCCTGCTATATGAATTTTACCTGTTATAACTATGCTTCAACATAATAGCAATTATTAAAGCTTATATATTAAATAGCAGAGCACATGATGCACTATTAAACTTGAGACCTAGCTGTACCACTCTAACAAAACTGTTGGCATCCTGGTTGCTTTACATATAGAATGATGTGGATATCACTGTCATAGCACCTTTTAGTCAAACACTCTACCATTGAAATATATTTAACATTTTAAAACCTCTATACCTTCTGGAATTTCTTTCATCTTTGGACTTACTAACACTGGGAAAGGCTTTTTTTTTTTTGACCTTATGCTTCACCCATAGGGGATTCCCTAGCAGAAAGGAAACGACATCGTTTCCTTTGGCTGCTTCCTGCTTTGGCTGTCTGGCACGTCCTAAGCTTTTCTTTATGCACATGGTTACAACATAGCTTTGAGGTTCTGCTTCCTAACCAAGAGCTTGTCCCTACTGCTGTTTAATGACCCCTCCTTCCAACCTCCAGCAGCAGACCACATTGAGGCAGAGAAGTCCGGCCAAAGAACAGTTTTTTTTCCTTAGTCTATGACTATGCTTCCTTGAACCTTAGAAATAGCTGTAAATTGTCCCTGGACTAATAAGGCCTCTGAAAAAAACATGAATAATGGAAGTGTTTTCTTCACTGATTAATAGCCAGAATGTACTGAGCATATATATAATGTTTGAGGCACTTGATTTTAGGCCCTTAGGATAATGGAGAGCCTTTATTCCCAAAGCATTAGGACACTTTGGCATTACTACTCCAGAAGGCAGCACATGAATTTTCTTCACATCCACACATCTCTTCCTATTGTATGTGAGTTGTAATCCTCAAATCCTTAGGTACTCTTATAAAATTCAGTAGCAGTCAGTGTATTTCATGTTGTTGTATCAGGGTCTCACTATGTAGTCTGTCTGGTTTGCAACTCTGTAGCCCAGGTTGGGCTCAAACTCCTGTTCTCCTTCCTTAGCCTCCCAAGGATTACAGGTGTTGGCAACCATGTCTAACTTAATCAGTGTCTTAATAACTGGACACAGTACCACAGTATCTATCTTAAAATGTTATAGAGACTTAATTAGTGCATGTGAAATAGTAACAATACCAATATGAAATGAAACTACATGGTAGATGTTTTACATGTTATAAAGATGCATAAAATCTTGCTAGGTGCCAGTGGCTCATGTTTGTAATCCTAACTATCCAGGAGGCTGAGATCTGAAGGCAGTGATTCAAAGCCAGCCTATGCAGGAAAGTCATTGAGACTCTTTATCTCCAACTAATCCCCCCAAAAGCTGGAAGTGCAACTGTGGCTCAAGTAGTAGAGCACTGTAATCTTGAACACAAAAACTCAAGGACAATCCCCAGGCCTAGGACTGGCACCAAAACAACAACAACAAAAAATCTTGCTAAGCACTGGGGGGCTCATACCTGTAATACTAGCTACTCAGGAAGCTGAGGTCTGAGGATTATGATTCAAAACCTGCCCAACCAGAAAAGTCCCCATGAGACTCTTTTCTCCAGTTAACCAACTCAAAACCAGAAGTGACTCAAAGGGATAGAGCTAACTAGCCTTGAGTCAAAGAACACAGGGACAGTGCACAGGCCCTGAGTTCAAATCCCATATCTGACCAAAAAATCTTATAGCTTGAATTGTTTTGTTTTTGAAGTTGGAATATTGGAGTCTTTATTATACACTTAGCAGACTGAAGGCAGCTAGTTGTTACAAAGGCCTGCAGCACCCCAAATACACTTAACATAGTTAGGAAACAGGCCAGAGAGGAAAGAAAGAACAAAAACAGTATCAACAAAGGAGATGAGCCAGCAGACAGAACATAGGACACGGGGCACGATCGGGGAGACACACACAGCATGACTTTGCAGCTTGAATTCTTCCTCCCTCCCTCCCCCCATCCCCAGGTCATGGGGTCTGAACGCTGGGCCTGGGTGCTGCCTGCCCTACAGCCCAAGGCTAGCGCTCTACCACTGAGCCACAGCGCACTACCAGCTTTTTCTGTTTATGTGGTGCTGAGGAACTGAGCCCAAGGCCTCATGCATACAAGACAAGCACTCTACCACTGAGCCAGCCTGTAGCTTAAATTCTTAAAAGAGAAAGAATACTTGTGTCCTCAGAAATAAACACTTTTGAATGTCAGTGTTGTATTTTTAAGGAATTCTGATTACTGTCTTGTTTTTGCTCTTCAGAGGGGGAGGTATCTGTTAGATTCCAGCCACTTTTTTTGTGCCATTATACTGAGACTTGAACTCAGGTCTTGCTGAGCTTTTTTACTCATGGCTGGTGCTCTATCATTTAAGCCATACCTCCAGCTGGAGTAACTGTTTCCAGGGACCTAATGTCTGATCGTGTAATGCAAGTAAGTTATTTTCCCACAAAGAAGAGCACACATTCTCCAGCTCCCAAGTTCTGTATGCCCTTCTGGTCGTTCCAAGGGAATAAAGTTCTGTTTTGCCTACAGGTTCTATTAGTCCACCATTTGTAGAAACAGTGCCCTAGTTAGAGCCACAGCTAAAGACTTTTCTAAAAGCTCTTTCTCTAAATACTTTTAGGAGGGAGGAGCTATGTTTTCACGTACTAGATCCAGAATCCCTTTTTTGGCATACATTAAATGAAAAGACATAAATAAGGCATGTGACACATAGTTGGTCTGCCCAGTAGATTTTGACTCCTTTCTCTTACCCATTTTGAAAACTACCAAATGGTCATGAGTTAAGAAGGGTTTTCCTAAATTTTGTTTATCTCTAAGGTTGACAGCATTATCTAGCGTTAGCACCCTCTTGGCCTTCTAAACTCCTAATTAGGCTTGTGATTCATGTCATTTCCCCACCCCCAGAGGCCCTAGATTTGTCCTTGAATGTTGCTTGATCCTCTTTTCCTTGGT